CTCGGAAACGGGGGTGACAAGGGGTCTGTCTCGATGCGGTTTCGGGGTGCGGTTTCGGGTGCCGTGGCGGCCGTTTGGGACGCCAGATGGCAGGTTTTGGGGCACGTTGGAAGCCGTTCTTGGGCACGCGGCCGCCGCTTCATGAAAAAATGCACGTGCTAGTTATGCACCCTGCTTGAAAGCTTTCGTCCCCCCCCCTCCCCCCCCGCGGGCGCAAGTATGATGATGAAAGTGGCGGCGATGCTGAGGGCTTTGGGGTACGGCAGGGGTCGATGAGGGGCTCTCAACCCCCAAAAGACATCCTAAACCAATGGGTGGACAAAAATCAAAGCCAAAGGGAGGCCTGGGGGTAAGAGGATGTTGCGCAACAATAGCATGTAGCAGTATTTGTCGTAGTAGCAGCAGCAAAAGTAGCCATACCACTACCATGGGCAGTATGAGGAATAGGAGTTTCCTGAGACTTGTTTCGTCGCAGTTGCAGCAGCAGCAGCAGCAGTTGCCTTTTGTAGTGGTGGAGCTGGAGATCAGGTGGGGGTGAGGGTGGTGGTTTCAGCAGAGGCGGGGCCCAAGCTGGTTTTATTGTAATCATGGACTGCCTCGTGGACGATCTTGCCATGTTTTCATTGCATGTTGCACTGCGGCTCTGGCTTCAGAATCCTGGTTCATGTTTTCGTCATTTCGATTCATGGAAAGCTTTGCAACATTTGTTGCAACAAAGCCCGGCCATCCCTCCTGACCGTCCTGGAGTCCCCTAGAGCCTGAACTCTCGAACGTCAATCTCTAGGGTCGCTAATGCCGGAACCCCTCCCCGCCCACTCGCTTGGACTCTAAGCTCTTTGGAGGCCCTGGAGCTTGCGGGGCGCTAGCCGCGGAAGCGAGCAGAATGCCACGACGCGCCTGGCCCTCCTGGCGGCGAGCCGGGCCCGGATGCTGCGGCGCTCAGGCTTGGAGGGGTGGGGAAAGCCAGGATTATACTCCCCTTAAGTAGACAGAATACGGTGTATATGGGGATCTTATTATACTATACGCAAAGTCATATTCTATCTACTTAGGGGGACTATAGGGTTGGGTCGGTTTGGGTGTTTAGAGTTCTTGCTCTGCGATTTGGGATCAGGACAAGAGCGACTGTCTTCATCGCAAGAGATACAGGTAGGATTAACAATGACAATGATGATTTGAAGAAATAGTAGGAATGCGAGGAATGAAGATTACCAGGCATGGCTGAAGTCATGGCTGCATGTAATTGCAACTAGCCATCGGGAAGCACGCCGTGATTTGCCTGTAAGGCGTGCTTTGCTTGGCTGCTCCGCTTGTGATGTCCAAGATGGCGCAAGCTGCAGCGTGCTGGGGGTCTGCCAAGGATGTGGCCAAACCAGTGTCTCGGGACAGAAGTATTTGGAAAAGTGGCTTGTTGCAAGTCCATCTTTGGGCTGGCACCAGACTATCCAAACAGCCAGAAACATTTTTGCATCATCCTTGGCAAGATTGCTCCAAGGCCACTTCACAGGGTGTTGTTGCTTTCAGAGGGAGCTGCTACAATATCATCTATGACGAGAAGAGTGGACCACAAAACATGGGGCGCTTGCTGGTGCATCCCTTCGGTCCGCCCGAGACGAGCACCTCGGTTGACCCTAAGCAGACATCTTTTGGTCTAATCCAAGTTGATTTTTTTCCGTACAGTATGGGCTGTACTCGCAGAAGCTGGAATATATGTCGGGGACTGCGTAAACGCGCGTGCATGAGCTACCGCGAAAAAAAGAAGGAAACAAACGGATTAGAGTCATCTACTCAGGGTCAGAGCCTCGTTCTTCATCAAAATGGGTTGAGCTGTTTCCGTTCATATGGGTTATTCTCCGTTTTGGTCATAAGTTGTATTACGGCACCTCATATTTGAGCGTACCAAGATGGGACCCTGATTTTGGGAACTCCACACATGTGTGGTGTAACGTGTGCGTCACGGTTCAGCAGTCCAAACCGCAAGGCGATGTCGCTGAGTGCTTGGACCAGGTGAACCGGCTGGCGACTGAGCAAGTTATCAAGAAGGACATCGTGGTTCTGCTGGACTTCTCAGACTTTGTGCGCCTTGGTGAGGCAAAATTGCACACAAAGATTCTCGGGTTTTCACATTTTATTCCTTTTCTAGATGCCTTGTTGTCCGCTAAGATGGCCCTCGCCCGTGGCGGCATACCGAAGCTTCTTCCCTGTCATCCGAGAGCGGCTCCCCACAGCGGAGAGCTTTGCATGTGCAGAGCTTTATGCTTGGGGTTGAGGGATCGAAGGCCTTAAGATGGATCTGTTACTTTACCGGCTCCGGCTATGAATGGCTGCATTGCACAAGTTGTTGGGGGGCCCCTCCACTTGCAGGAGCTGCGGGACAAGACCCAGGCGTTCGCCATCGTTCAGCGAGAGTCCTTTTGGGTGCGTTCCATTGTGCCTTGGATGAAATGCAGGGAGACTGTTCTGGCTCGGCAGCAGCCTGTTCTTCAAGGCTGAATGCGTTTGCCGAAATGCCTAAACCTTAAATTTTGGATTCTTAGCCACCCCCCTCTATTGCACTACCCACCCCGAAGTTCCCAGTTTTGAGCACGCTAATTTAGAGTCCCGGCACCAAATTACACGGTAATTTGCGCAGCCCTCCAAACAGATGGCGTTTAGGCTTGAGGGTTTACGATTTAGGGGCTGGGGCTTCGTAGTTGAAACTATGACCATTCAAAATTGTTTCTAAGTGGTCTAGACCATTCGGGAGCCGTTTCTGAGTGGTCTTGATCCCGCCCCGAATGGTTACAAGTCTTGTAACCGCGTCCCCGAGTGGCCTTGGGGCAAAACACCACCTAACTAAGCATTTCTGTCTTGAAGGCATGCCCTTGTGTGCCGGCCAGATGAGGTTCTACGCGTATTGTCTGATGGTACAACAGTGAAAGTAGTTGTAAACACAGCTGTCCAGGAACAGTTGTGGGCGATTCAAACTGGAAGCATTCCTAGAGCAGATAGACTAAGGTTGACGCCATGCTCCTCATGACGCAGCCGGAGACAGCTCCCATCTTTGCCAAGGCTCAGCAAACTCTCATTTCTCAGGCTGTCTGCCTGTTCCAACAAGCCGTACAAGTGTGTAACCTCAGAGAGTTCTTCAGCTAGCGGCAGCCAGTGCAGCTCACGTGCCAGGACCAGCGTGAGGCCTGCGAACGGCTCCGAGAGCGCTTTGAGCGCCCTCAGTTGGCTACACTTTAGGGAGCAAGAGCTCACATGTTAGGCCTTGGGTAGGCCGGCCATCAGGCAGATAATTAGAGCGAGGGACGTTCCAGGCCTCCCAGCAATTCAGGCGTGTGATGCGCGCTGTTTCTCGAGGGCAGATCGCTTTTCGATGGGCTGAAGGAGAGACTGCTGTGACTTTGCAGATCAACCAGTGGCCTTAATGCTCGGCAAGAGGTTCGGTTTCAGCTGCGGCAGTTGCCAGGTAGAAGAGGCAGGTAGCAGACAGCGTAGAGTCGTGGCACTAAGCGGCGGTAAACTTTCCTGACCTCCTCATGCGCTCCCCTCGAATGTGAAGGTGCAATCTGCAAATCTGCAGTTGTTTTTTGCCCACAAGGCTCAGGCTTGTGTACAGACGGGCACACATGGAGCCGTGAAGCGTGCAAATCTTCCGGTACCCGTTTTGTCGGCTCCGATGGTTTCTAGGTCCGTCGGGGGCACGCAAGAAGTGTTTGAGCTACCGCGCTGCGGCGCCAGCCTCGCACGCGTCCCGACATTGACTTGCATTGCTCAGACCAGTGGGGCCAAGCCCTGAAAGGAGCACAAAAAACTGAAAACCCAGCTTGTGCCGGACAGCTCCCATGCAACACATTGCAGACGCAATGCTTTGGCCGCCTCCCGGACCTTTCGCGCTGTGCTCAAAGTAGCAGTCAGCGTCAAAGATATCCAAAGATCCTAGTGAGCTGCAGACGGCAGCACATGTCTAGAGCTGTAGGGTGTAGGTCCCAGCAATAGAGCAGTGTCTGCCTGGAGCATTTTCCTGTGGAGAAGGTGTTGCCAGTGGTCTCTGGCCCAGGAGATCTGACTTGTCGTCCTCTCTTGCTGCGGTTGGCAGCCATGGAGGCAAAAATTGATGCCGTGCTCAGAGCCTCGTCTTTTTTGCTTTTGGGATCGGAGAGCGGGCTGATTGTTGGACCTCGGGAGTCTCACATTTTCATCTTGGTGGGGAATGTCGCCACAGGCTGTGTAGTAGTCAGTGCACTCTCAGGCAAGATGGAGATTGCAGCGGAGAAGGTGGAGCTGTATTGCAACAGCAAGGTGAAGCTGACCTGAGCTTGGTGGATTTGCTTCAAGCTTTAGGTCGTTAAATTGAATTGTTTTCAGACTGTTCCGAGGCCCATGGCCGAGCTGGACTACTTGAAGTCCCTTGGCTGTCAAGAACAATCATTGGTTGTCCGCATGGCTGTTTCCGGGTGTGAGGACCTTGGAAGATGCACGAGATTTCATGACTATGATGGTGACAAAGACCAGTGACAACCGCATCCTGGCAATAAAGGTGTAAGGGCTGACAGCCAGGGACAGTTGTGCTGAAAGTTGTCAGAAACATAAGGTCAACAGCTGGCAGTGTCTTGGCTGAAAGCAGGATCAAGCGAGCTCGCTGCACATGCAGGCATGAACGTAGAGAACATAGTCACAGATCAGAGCTTTGTTTCGAAAGTCTGGACTCAGTTGCCACACAGCAGGTGTGCAAACCAAGCCCCCCACTTAGGACATCTTTGGCGGAGACTGCTCCAGAATAGCCAGGATACGAACTGCTGGCACCTGAGCCACTTCAGCTTCAGCTGTCGTGCGTCTGGCGGCCAGTTCCAGGTCCTGGATGGCGTAGTGCTGTCCGACATGAACTGCAACGATCAACGTGTCCCAGCCCCTGACGTTCCACAGATTGCAAACTGTGGCTGTTCTCGTTTGTGTGTCAGGTGCGCACTTGCACAGAAGCCTGCGATTCCTGGCTGCTTTAGCAGGTCCCTGCTGATTGAAAGCACCGGTAGTTTTCCTATTAGCCTAGGCTACCATCGAGAAGGTCTTGGAAGACATGGGCCTGGGCTGGTGCTTAAAGAAAGCCTGCGACGAGCAGAAGGCAAGGACAGCAAGGAGTCCCCACTCTTGGTTCCAATGATTTCAATGTAGGAGCCCTGCTGGTATTTGACCCTATTCCCCTTAATACTAGGTTAATGAGTCAGGTGTCTACATCAACCCTGCCCGGCAGGCGAATTTGGGTCGCAGACGCAGCAGCTCTTACCTTGGGTGCCAGCATGACTGCTGTTGTTTGTGCTATGAACATGGTAGTTTCCATGGATAGGGGAACCCCAATATAGTTTCCAAGATACTGTAGTCCTGTCCTTACTTAGGAACCGCAAAAAGGTACACCTAATTTTGGGAAACTCCCATATCTGTGGGCAGGTAGAAAATAGCATCTTGACTCCAAGATCTGAAGGCGTGGACCGCGAGGCCCTACTGGCCGCCTCTCAGGCTGCGCAGGCAGCCGCCCAGGCTGCTGAAGCCTTGGAGACTGAGGAGGCAGGGCCCAAGAGGCGGCTTAGTATTCCCCCTTAAGTAGAAGGAATATGGATGTGACCATAACCATAGTAACATCCCCATATATTCCACATTCTATCTACTTAAGGGGGACTAGAGTATTCTGGCAAAATCACCTATCAGACGGCCGGTCGAAACTCACAGAACAGAACGACGACAGTCTTCAACTTGTGTGTATGGCAGCGAGTGCTTACAAAGCCGTGTCGCGGGGTACCAGGCCGCAAAGATATCCAGCCCCTCTGGAAGCTGCACTTATCAGATCTTTGGGGGCACGCATGCACTCGCACGAGTCGGATCAGTTCGCTGGATTATTTGCAGAGATCAGACTTCAGAACTGGCCGTGCTCTAAGGGCCTCAGGCTACGCTGCGAAATCAAAGTAAAAAGAGTCCACAGGTCAGCCGTGACAAGAACTTCAGGAAACGAACCTAGAGATCCAAAATACAAGCACGGCCGCTCCGAGCGCGGACGCTTCAAGCATGCCTGATTCAAGCGTGGCTGCACGAACTACTACTTCGTTACTACTAGTCCTAGTATTTGTACTAGTATTACTATGATGATTACTCTTACTATTATTACTATGATTATTATTACTATTTCTACTTTTACTACTCTCATTACTATTGTTTTTCGCATATTTTTGCTATTACGGCCCTGCTGCCTTTGTAGCCGGCAGCAAGAGACAGCAATAACAACACGGCGCAGCAATGATAACAGAAATATTAACAGTAGCAAGGTAACAGGTGCAGGGCCTTTTTTCAACAAAAGCCGGGTTTTAAGCCTGTCTCATGCTTGTCGCACAGTGCAGATCCTACCAACACTGGTATCTACAGCCAAACACTGCCCACAGCGTGCATTTTGAGCGTTAGCCTCCGTGGTTGTAGCGGTGGGATTCGCTTCAAAAACGCATGTGAATTTCAGAGTAGTTTTGGAACGGGGTTCGGGAGGGGCCATGGGAGAAACGGAGGTCCGATAATGCACCGGCAGAGGGGGTCGGCGGCATTGACGCCACCCCATATCGGGCAACGCCCTGGGGTTTCTGCCCGGCTTTGCCAATCAGCAAACGACAACGCCGCCGACCCTGCGTCATTGGGCCTCCGCTTCTCCAACCTCCGCTTCTCCAAGAGGCCCCCCACATCCCATTCCAAAACCAAGCTCAAATTTACATCATGAGCACGGACATTCTTGAAAACTAGCCTCCGAGGCCCATCCGGGCCCAAGCACCATGTTTCGGAGGTCCCGGGGGTACCGAAAGATCACAGATTGGAGAAACGGGCCCCCAAT